GCCTCGCTTCCCTGCCCGGGAGGGGGTAACCTGCGGCCGTGGCTCATGGGAGCCAGGTGAGGAGTCCAGCCCCGGCCGAGATTAAAAGGGTTTGTTAGGTGCTCCCTTCCCCCTCCGCACACGCTAATTAAGCGTAGTAATAATTTATCATGTGCTCTGCTGATGTGATTTAGTGCAACTTGTCTTGTCAAGCCTGCTCCAGTGTTTAGCATATAAGTTTAATGTGCTTGCTAACAGCACATTAAAATGCCATTTTCTTAAAATCCCAGAATCCTGGTCATTAGGAAGCCCACGTTCTTTAACTTACATGGCTAATGGTGCAAATAACTTTTAAGTACCTCATCTCAGGTGTGCCAGCATCATAGTTTTTCCCAACCGATCTGATCAGGCAGTGACAGTTTGGAGTAGGTAACAGTAAACAAAAGTAAGCAAGGGCTGATGGACTTAGATTTTTCAGAGAATGAATATTCTAATATAATTGGCTGTATTTCCTCCTCTTATTCAAATCTGAAATTCACGTGCATCTGGTCAAAGCACCGTTGTTGATTTGAGTTTAATCAAAGGGTTCATCTCTATGAACAACATTAATAATAGGGTGATCACTTTGTTTGAGTTGTACTAAGTTGTACTCAATGTGTATGCCCTGCCTTGGCGTGAAAGAGGTCTTATACGTATATGGTTGAACTACATAACTACAGCAGACCTTACGTGCCTCACTGACTACTCACGGTGTCAAGGCTGTGTTGCAGGGAAAAAACTGTAACAGACGGTAGTAGTATGGTGCTTTGTGAACCCCTTCCTGCTTAAAGGTCAAAATCCTGAGTTCTCCAAAACTTTCCTTCAGACTTACTTCCAATGCAAGGATGAAGAGCAGATAGAGGATTAGAAGTTTGAATATGTTTGTGTAGACACATATATACTCGCATATATATAAAACTGGCAAACTGTTCATACTAAGGGTGCAGCATTGCATCCCTGGTAGAGTAGCAGTATTGAACAGAGTGAAGCAGTGGTGATGGATACAAGTCTGCTGTTCCTGTTGCAGACTGGTTATACTGGACAGGCTCAGGCAGAAGAGCCATGGCAGCCGCTGAGCAGTCAGCGTGCAGGTCCTGGGTGGCAGAAAGAAACCTTGGGGGCAACCGTCGAACTTGCCTTATATCTCTGAGTCAGTTTGCAGGCGCTGATTTATGTCCATCTGAGTCAACTCACGTGTGGTTCCTGGCAAAAGTGTAAATGTAGGCCAGTGTCTGTATGCTGTTAGTGGAGAGTATGGCGATAGTGATTTTTTTCAGGGAGCCCAGACATTGTTGTTATCAAGCTGTCTGTCAAAGTAGCTATGAAACCAGACGATGTGCACTGAATAGTCAGTCAGATGATGCCTGTATTTCCTGTTGGCCTTTCAACATGCAAAACTGTGGATGTTTTACATTTGAGGTAAACGGAGAACTTTCCTCCCTGCTGTTTTGTGCACCTGCATCCAGCTGTAGGAGATGAGCTGCAGAATGCCGTGGGAGATACATGTGGGAAAGAGAGAGGGGACATGGCATTTTAATTGCCTTATTCCCAATTAAATATTAAGTCTGTGGTTTTCAAATTATCTGCCTACTATCAGTGGTCTACAAGACCATGGTGAATCATCTGCAGCCAGTATGCGGAGCCTTTGTTCATAAGTACAAATATTCATAGACATATGTGTGGCTTACAGAAAGTATAGGGACTTGGTAGTGCTCTACGACATGAAAAACATGGAAATTGCTGTTCTTCATAAAGAACTAGAAAAACAAAAGGGAAGAAATTGAGGTATTAAAGAAATACAGTTTTAAAATATTTTTCAGGATGTATACTAAGGAAGAAAGATGCAGAGTCACAGATTGACAGTGACTGTGTTTCCATGTGAGACCTAGAAAGCAGGAGTCAATTAAAGGTACCACCCTGTACGCCACCACCTCTTGTCACCCTGGGGTCTGTCCAGTCCTTATTTCAAATGCCTGTATTCTTGGAGCTTCCCTCATTTTTTTCAGTGCTTCCCTCTGGAATGTGAAAAGTAAATTACCAGTGTGGTAATGTACCTTGGCAGTATCTTGGAGATATTACAGAAGATAGGGGATGAAACCCTTACTGTAGTTACAGTAGCCACCAAGGTTCACCGGGGCATGGACCTTTTGTGGGATCTGCTTTCATCTACCTCGAGGCTCCTCATATTACAAGGACAAAAGAAAGATTTTTTTTTTTTTTTAATGCACCTAAGAATCCATAAGGAGGAGCTGTAAGGCCTTCAGAGTAAACTGACAGTAAGTTGCATGCTTTGCCACTGGGTTTGTTGGGTCTTTGCTGATAGTGGAGAAACAGTGAGACTAGGGATGCCTGGGCTGGCCTTCTTCCTTGGAGCTTTTCTTTGGCTCCTGGTACCTCCTTCTTTTTCAGCTTTCCTGTACAGGTGGGCTTCTCTCTTTGCCCCAGCTACCTTTCCAGTTCCTTCACAGCTCTCCACTACAGTTCCCGCTTGGATCCTCGATTTTTGGCCCTACTCTCATGCAATGTCTTACGCCAGCTTACTTTATTTTCTCACATCCTAGTCTGACTCTCAACCTCTCTGCATTTCAGTTGGGAAGCTTATGGCAGTTTGTGCTGGCCCTTGCCATCAGGACAGGCTTTGTCCAGAACATTCCGTTAATAACATGTTTCTGGAGCAGAGATTTCATATTTACCAAAATGGGCACATGTGACAAGAATATGGGGTTTTGGTTTGGGCTTTTTTCCTCTTCTGCGTGTGTCTTCCTAAACTTTGTACTGCAGTGTGAACATGCTCATCTGAAATTTCATACACCTTTGCCACCTTAAATCATTCAGTGTGTGTATGTGCAAAGGCTGTGCTCGAGCCTCATAGACCTGACCCCTCTGATCCAGGCTACCTGCCTGGAGAATGCCTGTGGTCTTCCTGTGGGCACAGCACTGAGAAAGGCTCTTCCTAGACCTGCAGAGAGGGGCTGGGCACTCCACCGGACACCCCACAACTGCTGCTGATGGGGCTGCCTCACAGAAGCAGGAGGGAGGAGGGCTCTGCCCGGAGCCCTGGGGCTGCTGCTTCTGTCCCCGGTGCTGCCACCTGTTTTATTTTCAAGCCTGTTGATTGTCTTATGCTTTAGCTTGTTGCTGTATTGTATTGAGTAGATCTGCAGGAGTAGGTCCCAAAATAAACAATTATGCTCAATTCCAGTTGGTTAGAATAGTGTCTGCGTAACTTCTGGCTATTTCGGCGCTCAGTGTTTATACTTGTGCATTTTGTACTTAATTTCTGGGACTGTGTTCTAAATGCACTGGTTTCTGTATTTTTTGGGAAAAGGTAATCACCTAATATTGATTCCAACCACCCCTTACTGGTTGCTGCTGAAAGCATTTAACATGTACTTGTAGTAAGTATAAGGACTTTTAGAATGAGAGTGACAATAATGGATTGAAAATCCTACTACATAATTTAAAATGCTTTTCAGTTTTTGAAAACGTGATCTTATCAGCAGAAGAGATTCCTCAAGAAAATGGCAGGATGATGTTAAATTACAGGAATGGTTTTGTGAATCCTGACTTTTGTATGAGATTTGTTTCAGATTCTCTGTGTGCTTTTGTTCAGTACCCCTCTGTTATTTGTCAATTTAGCCATTGATGCAGTGGTTGACATTTAATTATTCACCTGCAAGTACTCTGAAGATTTATTTTTGCATCCTTTTGATGTTAATATAATTGAAGTTTATGAATCTATTGTATACAAATAATTAATGTTTACCTCAAATATGTTTTTTTATTAGGTTTTGTACTACAATCTGCTCTTTATTATAGTATTAGTTTTTGTTGTAGTGGGTATGTGTACTGTTTGAATTATTGCTTTGAGGAAAAAATAGGCTACTGTCACTTGGAGAGCAAAACTTACCTTTTAGCAAATTTGCTGAATTTTACTTTTTATTGTGGAATTGCTTTCTGATTTTTTTTTTTTTTACTACAGATAATTTACAATTTTCATTTAAGTCTATCTTTTGTTAGCTTAGAATTGGGTTTCCTTGTTGCATGTAGTGTCTCATCTATGTGCTAATAGCTCTGACATTTTCTAGTTTGTCATGTTTTCTTATGGAAATGTAATTTGACATAACGCATGCAATGGCTGCATAGTTGTGCTTTATCTTGGTCAGACCAAGAAGCAGGATATGAGTTGCCAGACAGAAACATGTTGAGGATTATGCAGTGATAAAGCTTTCTTATTTCCAGCAGATCATGCAGCAAAAGAGCCGGTGGAGGATACAGATCCAAGCACTCTTTCCTTAACAATGGTATGTGTTTCTGGTCTAATACAGTTAAAATCATTATAGCTCTCTACAGTTATGTAGTGCAGAAGTGAGGTAAAACATTCAAGAATATTAATTTAAACCATGCTTATATCTAGGTGTTTGCTTACCCATATGATTACATAAACAAATTTTAATTTACTAACCCTGTGCAATTAAAGCGTGAATAAAAATACCAATAGGTACTTAAGCTGAATTGGATGTTACCAGCTGAGCTGTCCATGGAATAACCTCTAGAGGCTATGACAGTACCTTTTTTTTGGTTAAAAAGAAACCAACCAACCAACCAACCAAAAAACCACACACAAAAAAAAAAAACAATCAAGAAGGATTGGTGGTGACATTTTTCTGTCTATATGGGTTGGAGGGATAAGAAAACCCACCTAAGGCTTAAAATTTAGTTGTACTAAGTTGTTATTTCTTCCTGTACCTATTTTGTCTGGTGAGTTAGTCCTGGAAAAGTAAGACCAAACAGCAGTGCCTTACAGCAGGCATGGATGAACCTAGGGAGAGACCACATAGCGTGCTCTACTGCTTGTGGGCAAATAGAGTAACACGTCTTATGATAAATTTTTGTGTCTTAGGATATTAAACACGCCAGTCTTATGCTGAGACAAGGAGCATATCAGGTAAAAGTAATACGAAATTCTGTCAAGTCTTATAAGAGTTTTTCTTTTTAAGGTTGCTATGGATTGTTTTCTCTGGGGAAATGTTACAGTGCCATGTAGCCCAGAGAAGACTGTTGTCTAATGTAGTTATGTAAACAGATTGAAATGCATTGGTTTATTTTATGGATGGCAAGTGAGCAAGCTACTGCTTTGCCTTGGTGTTTTCTTCCCATTTTGAAGCTTTACAACAGGGAGTCAGCAAGAAACTCTGAAAATTTCACCAGTACTTTAAATACTGATCCTTCATTATTGCAGTTTGTGTACATGCATTTGTGTCAGCAGGTTTCAATAAAGGATACAGACTTTGTGATTGGTTTTGTTGACTGACTAAATTAGATGCTGTATTTTGCCAAGGGGAGTTTTTGAAAGGTGGGGAAAAGTTGCTGTGTCTGAGACAAATTAAAGTTTGTTTACCCACCCACCCCTCTTCCTTAAATTAAGATGTCTTTAATCTTTTTGCTTGGTTACCAGCTTCTAGAAAAGCCACACCTACTTCTACATAAGGGTAGGGGTCATAATGAAGTAGGTAGATTTCAGGTATAATAGTAAGCTATAACATGCCTAGAAATCAGCAGCTATCCCCTTAAACTTGGTAATAATAGTTTTCTATAGCATCTGGATCAGCTTTTTATTTTTAGAGCAGAAGGGAAAAATATTTTTTCTTTCAGTACAGTTACATTTTAGTAAAAGCTTATATCTGCTAAAAGAGCTTTTGAAGTCATCTCTGTTCCTCCTGGTATGTATTACCTTTTATAGATTATTTTGCTACTTAAATGCAAAATTTCATTCCCAATCTCTGCTTTTTCACTAAAAAAACCCATCTAAAAATATTGCAGCAAAGCAGCAATCTGTATTACTTTTGCATGTGGTAATCAGTCGTGTTAGTAGGATCTCAATTCCTGTGTAAGAAGCACGTTACAATGTCTGATTATAGACAGATCAACTAGTAGCAATTTAAGGGATGCAGCTATAATTATGCAGTTTTATATACTTTTTTCTCTAGCACAGTTACACTCAAAATAACAGACATCTGTGTCTCTTGCCTTTTTGTGACAGACTGAAAAATATCCTGTCCAAGATACAGGAGTACCTAAGGGTAAGTATTGTGAATTCTTTCTGTTCAGGTGTCATAGATCTGTGTTGTTATGTGCGATAAAACCATTGGTGTTATCCAACAGATTGAAAGAATCTTACTTTTTCCTAGATGTTTATGTTTGAAATGTAGTGTTGTCTTCTGTATTTTTAAGGTCAGTTTGGTGTGTATATATATATATATAACTCAAAATTTCCTTCCAAAGTTTAGATTTGATCTAAAAGTCAGTCTAAAACTATCATCAGAGGATCTTGGTTCTCAATCTGGAAGGAAAATACAGGGGTGCCATGAAAACACAGTGTTCAGAGAACAGAAATAAGAGACATGATAACGTTGGAAGGTAGCTTTGAAGAGATTACCAGTGCCTTCAGGTTATCAGAAATATAATCCAGAAATACCTTCCAGCTTTCTTGCCTCTGGTTGCATTCTCAGCCCTATAACCAATTAAGTCTTTATGCTATGTTTTACCTTCAGCAGGTATTAATACCACTACTTGGGAACCTAATATAGGTCCACTCTGCACAAGTTTCTGCCTCTCCTCACTGAAAATGGAGTGAGGGAGTGCAGATTTTGTGTTGCACTGAAGTCAAATACGTGTATTACACAGTGTGAATATCCCCTTTATGGTTTCCTTGACATGTGGGGTGTTTTTTTTTTTGTCATCCCAGGCTTCACCGTTGTCTTTTGTCCAGGGAATGCACTGGCAGGGGCTCAGTTGAGGAGCACTCTGCAGGTAGTGTGTTCTCTGTCTTGTGTTGCACAGCAGGTCTGCATTGGGGAGGGACACAGGAAACTATGCAGAAGCCACAGTGGAAACTTTTGCTAAGGAGCTTGAACAATATACCATGGGGTTAAAGAAAGGTCGGAGACTATTCTGGGGGCTTGAGGGAGCCAGCCAGAGAAAACAAGCATCTTCTCACAAGTGCTGTTCAGTAAGGAAGGAGAATGTGGGATGAAAACTAATTTGAAATCATAAACTACTTTCTGTTTATTTTCACCCAGGTGGTTTATTCCTTCCAAATTGTTTATTAACACTAAAGAAATTTCTCTGTAACATTCTTTTCCATGCCCTGTTTTTTATTTCACCTGTGACATCAGGTCCTGCACAAAATTAATCAGATAAATTCCAAAATTACAAATTTGTCAAAATTGTTTGAAATCTGAGATTGCGTCTTTTAAATGCATTTAATTTAAATAGGAAAGAGGAGAGGAAGTAGACATTTCAGCACTTTCTGTAGAAAGGAAATGAACTTGCTTTATTTTTAATTTTAGTTTCTACTTCCTCTTACTAAATGTAAAAAGATGCAAGTACTAATATAGCTTGACATTTCCCCTTTGGAGTTGAAAGTGATACAAATACCTCTTAGTATTCTGTTCATTTCTGTGATTTATTTTTTTTTTTCTGAGAATGACTTTACATAACTATTTCTATAAAAATATAGACTCAGAAATATGAATCTGTGAGCTAAAAAGTGTTACAGATGTGCAGGTTTGATTCTGTGTAACAAAATTATGTGTGCTTCAGATATGTTTGAATAGACAGTACATTAGCTGGGGGTGGAGTAGGGACTGTTTTGTTGCTTTTATAGGTCAATTAATTAATGGACCATTTGGGGGCCATAACTTATTTAAGTTCTTAGCACACTCTACCAATTATAAATTAAAGGTGAGTTGGGGAACTTTTCATCTTGCAGGACTAGGCTTAATGTTTTTGTCGTGTTTTGATTATAATTCTTCCTCCACTCAGGTACAGAACAAATTTCACATATGTTTCCACACAAATGAAGTGGAATTTTGATGCCCATGTTCTGCATTTTCAGCAAGACTTTTTTTATTTTATTTTTTTCTGTTGTCTCTGGACTTAGTCATAAAGAATAGAGATGATCCTTATTAAACATTTAGCCTCCTGGAGGTGGAATACTCTTTGACGTTAAGTTTCAGCAGTCTTATAAAACCAGGAAAAGAAGAAAATAATTGTTTTGTTTTGTTTTCTTGCAACTGTAAGGAGGAATTTATTTGATTCAGATCAGTTTCTTAAGTGAGATAAGGAAATATGCCTTCTTTCTATTATCTGACAATTCATAAGGATAATAGCTGTTCTTTAATGAGATCTTCCCACTAAACAAACAGCAAATGGAAATGTAGCAGCACTACAAATGTAGTCACAACCATGGAGAGTTCTTGTGTGTAAAAACATGTGGAATATAACCTCTTTTAAGCTCGTGCTATTGGTTGGTCAGTACCCGACCCAGGGGAATTATGCAGATGGTTTGATGATGAGGACCTAATTAATCACGCAGAGTGAAATTTGTCTGTTTGCACAAGGTTCTCAAAGGGCTTATGCATCCCTCGTACCTTGTGTTGAGGGCTGAAGTGAAGCTGGAAAGGTAAATAGAGTTTGTGCTATGCTGGAGAATGTTGTGCTTTTCGGTGGACTCCCAGGGCAGGTGATAAACACACTTTGAAAATGGATTATTTCAGTGCTTCAGAAAACTCCTGTGTAGTAGAGATAAGTAGGATAAGCCTAATTCACAAGGGGCAGAATAAAAGGTAAACATTTGTGTAATATGTATTTCTACAATTATCATTGTAAGTGTGATGAGAAAAGCAAAGCAAAAAGGGTTGTACTGACTTGTGACAATCATCTTCAGCCTACTTTGATGTATTGGTTCAGTAAATATTCTCTGGTCAGCTTTCTGAAAGAAGAACATGACTCTTGCTTCAAAAGTACTGTGGTGATTGTTTGAAAAAAAACCTGCTACACTAATATCTGATCTCTACAGGAATTATTTTTCTTAGTACAGTCATGCTCTGCATGGTTGTTGTAGTTTCTGCCAATTTAATATTTTGGGCTTCTAATCCAGCATTTCCCAGTGACTGGTCATGATATGAAGTCAAATTTTGTGTGCTAGACATCTGTAATTTTTGTTTGATATTGTTACTATTCAAATTTGTATTTGGGTGGAAGATCAGTGTTTCACAATCTTTGTCTTAGATGAGGAATACCTAACAGATCAAGTTACATTGGAAATTGCATCTGTGAACATCAAGACCCTTACATCAGATTCTGGCCTAATCCAACAGGTAAGAAAAATGATACTTGAATGTGAACTAAGTTATTGCTGTTGACAAAGAAGTATGTTAACAAATATATTTTCAGACTATATCTGGAGAGCATGGAATTACTCAGTAGAACAGACCAGAAATAGTCTCTCTTTTGAAAAGACTTCAGTGAAGTGAGCTTTTGTGGAGAAGAGCAAAAGAATGGTTATTTAATCATTAATATGTGCTTTGTCATTTAAATAGGTTTTGATTAGTGTGTAAATGCTCTGAAGAAGAGCCAACAAAGATTTAAGGTTTTGTCATGCATGCTCTCCCTCTTTCCTTCTGAAAACAGAGCCAGGGCAGAGAATAAGTGAAGTAGTAAGGCATCCTAGGTTTTGGACTCCTTGTATTTTGTCCTTAGGGAGGTATTTGACTGTTCTGCTTTGAATTTGGGACACTGCTCTTCCCGCAGTGGAAACTCTCCGCTGTTTGTGAAATCTTATGTTGCCACAGAGCGGGCAATGCTAAGTGGCTCCCATGCTCCATGGTTACCATCTTTCAAAGGGAATGTTTTTTGCTGCATTTCAAATTGATTCTCTTTGGGTTGAGCAGAAAACTTGGAGAAGAGAGATGAATGAGCCTTTTCCAGCAAGATGAAGAATTAGAAGGAATTACTTATGCCAGAGTCTCAGCTGAATTTCATCAGAAACAAACATGGGTTTGGTATGCATTTCACAGATGATGGAGGTAACTGTCTTATTCCCATCATCAAGAAGAGGGCATTTATTACCAGCTTAGAATCACTATAAAGATATTTCAGTGTCTTAGGGTGTTAGTGGTTCTACAGAGCTGGAAAACTTTCTGCTTATCTTCAGATTGTGCATAGGTTTATAGCTTTGATTAGACCTGTAGAGGTTGTCTGGATTTTGATTGTGGGAAAAAAATACTCTTGTGTTACACCTTCATTTCATGGGCAGTAACACTACATTGTCTTATTGCAATTACATTACAAGAAAATGATCTTGAATAAACCTGAGTGCATCTGATTGATAAAAGTGGATAATAACTGATCAGTAAAATTGCCAATTTTGAAAGCAGATGCATGGCACAGGTAGGTATCCCTGTTTTTCGTTGTTCTTTTTGCAGTACTAGCCACTCCTGCTAGTGGCTTGAGATGGCATTATACTTGAGTATAATGACATCTCTTAAAGTCATTTAGGTATTAGCTTTCACAATACAGTTTGAACTTTCATGAATTCATAAAGTCTGGGCAATGTTACTGAAGCTCAGGATAGCAACTTAGCTATTGCAAACTAAGTGAATATCTGGTTTTCCTTTTTTATTATTTTTTCTCTTTTGTTTTTATTTGCTTGTATGTTTCATCTGAAACAGATCTCTGGGGAGGCTGAGCTGTGATGAGCAGTTCCTCATTGTCCCAATGAGTTACCCTTCTGGGGATTTGCTGCTCAGGGCTCGGTAATAATGTTCTACCTTTTTAAGAAATTTGTGGGAAGGGACACAATTACTATAATCAGGATTTCCAGATTTTATTTTTCTTAAACTTTAGGTGCTTAAAAGTTGCCATGAAGGCCAAGATCATGTTTAAAAAGCTCTGTCCAGAGAAAGCTTACATGGTGCCAGTGCAAAAATTAACCTACTAAAAGATAATGGCAAGGATTATTTGCTACAAGTGGTATATGCAGTGTTAGATCTGTCTTGAGCAGAGACCAGACATTTTGTGGGGTGAATTGAAGTTGCATGTGTGATCTTGCAGTTTTCAGGGAATAAAGAAATGCTGAAAACAGCATGCAAATTTTGGCTTTCCTAACAAAGCCTTTAAATATTTTGGAGATAGTTTACCTTCTTTGTAATGGGACTGTGAATGTATGCATGTTCACCACATCAACTGAAGCTGCCTATATTCTATTTTTAGTGGATTTCTTAGTAAAGAAGGTGTAGCAGGTAGGAATAGAGTATCTTATTACACTATAGTGTTACTCAGTTGGCTTGCGTTTGCATGTGCAGCCGGCAGAATGTTAAGAAGCCTGCTGTTAGAGTTTTGGAAGAGTGACGCAATATGAAAAATCAACAATACTCTATAACAGCTATCTAAGGGGAAAATCCCCTTCTGCTTTGATCTTTAAATCCTCAACAGAAGAAAGCTATTTCACCTGGCTCCACACCCGTGTAGTTAAAGTAAGGGCAGCTGCAGTTTACCGCAGTCCTGGGATCAAGGTGCTGTCCTTCCAGTTTTTAGATGTTGTTCTCTAAATAGTAGAATTGAAATGTTATGACGTGTGTTGCAGTCTTAAACTCCAAGTAATTTCATTATGTTTAATTAGCAGGCAAAAAGCCACTGAGGGAATGTTTACTTCAAACAGGAGGAGGTTTAGATGTGAACCAGAAGAAATGTTCAAATCCACCTGTTGTCTAGAAAAGCTTCCTATGTATGTAAAGAAATTTGTAAAAAAAACTCCTCCACTTTTTCTCGATCAATGAAACAATCCCTTACTGCTGCATGTTACAGGCAAAATTCCAATTTTTTATTACAAAGCATTTAAAAAATGTTTTTAATCAAACCATATGAATTGTTGAACAGTTGCTAAGGAATTAAAAACAAGTTAAAAACAAGAGATGTAACCCCGTAGCGTATCATTAATAAAGATGACATTGTTCAGTGAATACAGGGCAGTTTTGTGAGCCAAAGTGTGGAAATGCTGACTGAAAAGACTGCAGATCGTCTCTGATTCCTCAAAATCGGATATATTCTCTGTCTGACTTCACAGGTAGCTTGGGATTCTTCTAAGTAATCTCCTGCCACTTGGATGGTTATTTTGGTGTTCAGATACATTGTTCTGATTTATATTTGTTTTCTGCTTTGTAGCCAGAAGACAAAGACACGCAAAACCATACTGATGAATCACTTTCAGGTAATATGTCAGCTTTACTGTTCTACTTATTTTATTCCTAGATTTTCTTTGAAAGTACTTTACTAAAAACGGCTCTTTGTCATAACCAAGAACTGCCTAGGTAATCAGTGCTTGTAGAGCTCATTTTATTAGCAGTGTCATTTACAGCTTCCTCGTTGTTTTAAAGGCGGTGACAATCAATAATGCAGACCATACAAAATGTGTAAGACATCTAGTAAATCCACTTTTGGAATAAATCTGTAAACAGCTACCTGGAGAGAGCAGAAGGTGGCGGTGGGCTGTGGGGGCTTATCCCATAATTGTATAAGCTCAGCTCGGGGTGGGGTGTGTGTGGATGATGTACAGCTCTGTTAATCTAACAGTGAAAAACTGAGAATTTCCTGTTAGTAAAGAAGCTTGTCCTATCATGTAGCATTAGGATCGTGCAGTTAAATGGGTAGATCATCATTTGCTCATCAGTATCTAACACAGGGCATCTTAGAAAAGCAGGATTCTTTATAATGCTTTTGATAGTCTGCACATGATATAGCACAAGAAGCAGGTTGGTTTAGTTTTGTTTACGTACAACTGTGTCCTGTTTTTTCTTTACCCCTTATTCCCTGCTTCTGTTGGAGGATAAAACTTACTCTGGCATCCTTGCAAAGCAAAATAAGATGAAATTCAGATAGGGCGCTCTCCTGCCCTTTGAGCTCAGCCAGAACTTTGATTGGATTACATTTTGCCTTCTTTGTATAACAAAATCTTGGTATGAGTGAAGCAAGCAAATTTTGTCTCACTTCATCAAGAGTTCAGGGTTTGCAAGAAGAACAGAATAGTTCACATACGTATTTCTGTACAGAACAGCTGCAAGGCCTGTGGAATACCTGTGAGCAAAGATGTCACCAGAACGTGTTTCCTCTTAACAGGGAATCTAAGCATTTGTATGAAGTTATGTGTCTGTAGCAGTGTTGCTGCTGCACGTCCTAACTTGTTGAAGACTTCAAAAGTTGTCTTTGGCCTGCTAAAAAAGCAAGACGATGAGCAATGTTACAGAAATAACAATAGTCTGTTCTTCCCTTAAAACCAAACCCCAAAGTGCACGTTGAAGCTACATTCAGCTGAGTTGCTTTTATCAGCACTAATACTCAGAATAAAAAAAATCACAATTTGATGGTCTTTCTGGAATTTTCACACAGTCTGACAATAATTACTGCAAATAAAAAAAAAAAAACAAACAACCCAAACCAAAACAAAAAACCTTCTATGAGTAGGTGGTACTGAGTACCAGATTTGCCCTTTGCCAGAGATACAGTTCAGGTCTCTTAGATCAGCACTGATCCAGCACTTGTAAATTGTGTGTCACTGTTTTCTGTTATTGTTTTTAATCACTCTTTTGATTAATATCAGTTTTCTTATTGTAGTGTCCCTTTTTCAAAGAGTTTTATCCCACGTAGGACCAGTTACTTCCCTATTTCAAGCTGTACAATAAGGTTGGAGGACAGAAGCTTTAAAAAGTGCTTTTAGGCTGCATCCATTATCTACTACTCTTTGACATATCAAATTCTCCCTGCCTTCAAAAAGGAGCAGGGATAGTTAAGGTCATATCTGCAGCCAAAATGCTCAAACAATGCCCTACACCACTGCAAGGTTAAAGGTCTTAGTATTAGTATTTAACTAGAAGTATGACTAAAACTGATTTCTGTGTGCTTTTCTGGGTTATTAATATATAATATAGTCTGATAGCACCACATTGTTCACAATGCTGGGGAGATATTGACTGTTGTGTGTAGGAGACCTTTAGATGACACTTTTCAGTATTTGATGCAGGTTTTAGAACATACCACCTCCTACTTCCAGCAACTTGGTATTTTTATTTTTCTCACACATAGAGGAGTATGCAATTTCTTCCTTTCTATAATGTACATTTAAAATAGTCTTGCTTGGTAGAACAGGGGCAGCTTTTATTATAAGAGCCCTTACAAAGCAAAGGAAGCAAAGGAACATTTCCACTTTTTCATTGTGTTAAAGTACTAGATGTTAGTTGTGTTTGCAGCTGTCAGCAGAGATTCTCAGTGCAAATGTTTCATGTTGTTATTAAGGCAGCAGTTCAGAAGTGCAAAACCTTTTCCTTCATCCTACACATGTGTATACAAGATGCACATAATGTGCACATAATGCTGTTGGTGATGTAGGCAGGGATTATGGCAGATTCGAGGAAGCGATGTAGTTCCCAAAACCAAAAAAAGGGTAATATCCCAGCTCACACACTGTATTGAATCTCATGCATTTTCTATAAAAGTATAAATATGGTGCTTTCAAAATAACTCTCCTATTGATTATAGCTACTGAGCGTAGGGAAGGAGGAAGTCTTAGAAAGTTCATTTCATCAGTACTTTATAAGGAAAGGCATTAGCCTGTCACTACTGTGACTTTTTCAGAAACGATTCACGGGAGCATAATAGCCTTCAACCCTTTGTGCTTTGAACTATTTGTTCCTGGTGAAACCATGGCAATAGATCCTAACCTCTCTCCATGTAATGGTTTTTACTGCAGATCTCAAGAAAACCTGCAAGGAAAATGGCACCTGCTCCTTATGCTTATTCCGTGCACCGACCATCAGTGACATGCTCAATGATGAGGACTTGTTGTACACAGTGAGGCTAAAGCTGGATCCCTGCCACCCAACAGTGAAAAACTGGAGAAACTTAGCAAGCAAGTGGGGGATGACTTATGATGAATTGTGTTTCCTTGAACAAAAGCCCCAAAGTCCCACCTTGGAGTTCTTGCTACGGAATAGTGACAGGACTGTGGAGCAGCTGATTGATCTCTGTAAATTTTATAAGAGAATTGATGTTGTGAAAGTGCTGCTGAAATGGGTGGAGGAGGAATGGCCCAAGAGAGGGAACAGAACTTACCAGAATGACTTCTAGGTCAAAGAAAGTTGTTAGGCTGTACGTCTTAAGCGCTGGGACTAGCTGCCACTAGTACACGGGAAGTTTTCCTTGCAAGAGAGAGAGAGCCTGTACTGATGGTTTGTATACTGTGTAAGCTTTATGTACTGTATACATATATATGTTCTGTGCCCTCAGGGTTGCAAAGATAACCTTCCAAAAGTGGATGGAATAATGCAGGTTGTATTCTTGAGTCTACAAATGCCTTCAGTTTCTTTGCTGCTGTTCGTAGGCTTCCTAAGCAGAAGAGGAATGAAAAAGCCAGACCACTGGTTTTACTGCAGCAGTTGTGAACTGTGTCAGTTGTCTGCTGTTGCTATTGGGAAAGCCATAATTAGAAGGCAAGTCTCGGCCTTTCTGGCAGCCCTTCCACAATTTTATATGTTCTACCTAGTAGAAGATGAGAGGTTATTTTTTTTTCTTCCTCTTTTTAATTTTTTTTTTTTAAGCTTTATGACACTGGTTTTGGCACAGGAACACCTCAGTGTTCCAAGCAGCAGTTTGGATTTGCATGTTACAATTAATTCAGTATTTCAACATCACATTCAGGCAAATTAAGCTTTAAATCTCTTGTATAAACAAGAACAGATGTTAAGTGAAATAATTATTTGCATACTTCTACATCATAGGGCATGTGTTTGCTATAGAAGAAATCATGCAATTCAGAGAGACTTTCCAGCCCATAACCACTAGGTACCAAAAAAACCCATTAAAATGCTTTATACTTAAAAGCAGTTTCCAAAGTTTTGAAGAAAATATACACTCTGAGTGCACTTATCTGTTTATCTCAAATGCCTCTCCCTTTGCAGTGTGAGCTGATGGCTAATACCTTACCCACAGTATATCCTTAGTATTGAGTATAACTTCCCTTTTCACAGGCTGTGGTTTTCTCTACAGTCCTGTGGGTTGACCTGCTTTGTCCCACACCAAAGTAGTTGCACACTTGCGTGCAACTAACACAAGTTTATGTATTGATGAAAGCCACTCTAGTAGGAAATTAAGAGGGTGAATTCATCTACAGTCCAGGTGGATGGTTATTAAAGCACTTATGGTAGTTTAGACTGATGTTTCTCAAAGAATTTTGATACTCTGAATTACGCTGTTTACATTTTAAATATTTTAGAAGTTGGTCTTTTTCCTACCATTCTTCTGTGTTTTATTGTTTAAAAAAAAACTCCTGAAAAATGAGTTATACAGTATGATGTAGAAAGTACTTATAGCTATAATGCCACACAAAAATGTTGTGACTTAAACATACTTCTAGTTGTTACCCTTACTAAAAGCATCTCAGACAATACTAATATGTACATAGGTGTATATACCAAAGCACTGGTGAACAGTATGTCAAGATGTGGGGCAAAACTAGAATGGGGTACAGGCTGATGCACTGTTTACTTTTCTCGAGTAGAAATTACTAAGAATTAGTAGCAAAGCTGAGGGAAGTCTAATGCTGTATACTGAGTTTCTTACTGTAAGAGAATGAATAGAGACCTCTAATAGTACTATATTATAGATACTGAGTGATATGGCTACAGAGGAGCTAGAAGTAAAGACTAACATTTTCAATGTCAGGCACTAGTTCTGGGGTGACATAAATTAGCTTTATTTTAGTGACTTCAAGAAGCTGAAAATCTAGTTTCAAGGTAAAAGGCTGACCTAAATTTGAAGTTTGAATTTTTTCTCTTTTTTAAGAGCTCCTTGAAGACCAGAATTTTTAGTAACTTTTAACTATTCCTCAAAAAAGCTGCTACTCTTTAGAACAGTAAGTTTTCTAGCTATATTTTAAAGAGGAAATTGTTCTGCTGTATCTTGTTGGTGCTGCAGTTCAACTGTTTCATGTTCCTCTTCTAGGAACAGGGGTTTTCTGATAGATATCTGTCAACTCTTAATTTTTGCAAATAATCTTCTGTATTTGGTTAGGAGCTCTAGAATCAGCTTTGAGGACTACTGCTGTGGCTGGGCTGCCTGCTATTTTCAGTTCCTACAGAGGCATCCACTGCATATGTGCAAATGGCTCATAATACAAATTGTCCAGCATACTCCCCCTACTTTGGGCCTACTATATGCATGATTTAGGATCATGTGTCAAGTTGTTTTTCAGAGTGATGAGTGCTGGCATGTATGCCAAACAGCTTTTCTCCCCCACAACATACCACAGTTATATGCGTGTGGTATTAGTAGTATGCTCTGCTTTGGTAGATCCTGTCCAGCAAGGAGCTGGAGCTCTCACCTGAGATTCACAATGGGAATATGAAATGATGCAGCAGCATTTCTATATCAAGGTGTTCAACTGAAATCTACACCTTTTCCTGTTTTCTGGCTAAAACTTGTACAATTTTGAAGAAGCTCTGGAAATGAGTTCTGATCTCGTGAAACTCTTGAAAAGTCAATGTCAGCTGCAAGGATTCATGTCTGATGGAAATAAACCTGTTTCGGAGAGTTCATTTGTGGATTCTGCATAAATTCAGCACTGAAGGTTGAAAATGTTAGCCTTAATCTTCAACACACACTGGATTACTCATTAGTATACTTGAAATATTTTTTCCTCTTTGTATGATATGAATTGAGATGTACACACTTTTTTAGTTTTGTATCTGTTTACAAGATATGGGGTCTGAGTGTTCAGTTTATTCTTATATCTTCTGTTATAATGTATACTATTTTTAGAAGAAATATAGATTATCAATGTTTGACTTGATTGTATTTGTTTTTATTACAGCTGGGAAAACAGCTGTTTTCCTTCTCACCAGTTACCTTGGAACCGCTGAACTATCAACTAGTTGTGCTGTGTAAAAAACATCTTATATACAAGATTCATGGCATCTTAAAGCATCTATGTTTGCAACAGATAACTGCTGTTCAAGGAAGGAAGATGCACTTGTTTTATCTTTTCCATATGAAAAATGAGTTAATTTTGATAAGATGATGGACAAAGATGTTTATGTAGAAACTTGCAGTGGAGTTACTAACTATAGAGAGGTATGAAACTTACACGGGGTGAACTCTTCCTGAATTAAAAACCGATCTGATAATGAAGGTTAGAGAATCCCCTGGACACTGAAAAGGCTCTGCTAGACTACCAGTTTTGTTCCATCACATATATCTCCTATTCCTGTACAAGACTCACTCTCCCTTCAGCGATTTCCAGTTCTTTGGCTGCGCCATCTCTGTGCGTGCAGGATAATCAGTGGCCTTTCCCACCCACTTTAGCTCTGTGAAGATGTCCAAACCACTATGTTCTTTAATTCCTGCAACTTTATCTAAGACATGGCGAGCCTAATAACTGTTCTTCAACAGCAAAGGTACTGTCCTGTGCTCCAGGAGCCCTTGGTTTTGCTGTGAGGTCAACTATGGAGCATCCTCTGTTTTATATATCTTGTAAGTCTTAAGTTTTGGTTCAGTTTTGGACAGCAGGGCAGTGCACCATTAAATGAGGACTTGGGTTTGTGGTCTGTTTTGACAGAAAAGTGCTTTTCCTTCCCCCTGAGCTCAGCTAGTCCGATTGCATGGCTATAGTCAGTTGTTAGCCTTAGCTGGATAGGGAAGGTATGGATCCAGTGGTCAGACAGGCTGAATATAAGCAGCACTAAGAAGAATTTATTTGGAAAGGTAGATTCTATAGTATTTGTAAGCCTGTACCTCGGCCAAGGACTGGGACTGACTCCGTCTTACAAGAAACTGATGGCAAAGAGGAGTTGACGGACCTGGGAAAGGCTTGGCTCTACCCTCTGTTGGGGGCAATTAAACAGCTGGGCAGATTTACTGGTTGGTAGTCTTTGTATTTTACCTTTGTAAAATTGTGATTCTTGATTTTAAAAGCAGGTTGTTTGGGTAGATGTGTATTTGTTATTGTGGTAAGGAGACTCATATGAGAATCTTAAGTGTGAGAAAGATAAAGCAGTGCAAGTCTTGTTAGGATGGGATCACCAAGGTTGGCTTTGGACCTTTTGAATGCTGACACGAAAGAGTATTGGTGTGTTGGATTTGTTCAGGATTTGTTTACTCGTCTTCACAGTGCTATGAAGATGGGGATTAAAACTGAGGAAGAGATGAAAAAGAAGTAGCTTCTGTCAGAAAGAATTAGTGAGAAGTAATGTCTATGGTGTTAACTTTGTCTTTCCTCTGATTTATGTATAGAAATAGTTTCCTTGACTGAAAATTTTGGTTATTTACAGCTGCATCTTTCAACTTTTTTTGAGAAAATTGCAGAAGCGAGGCCAAATATGTTGTTAACTTGGAGAATGAATGTTCTATGTATCTGTGTACAGAATGAGATAGATGTGTAAATTTACATATCCACATAAAGGTGCTTTTTTTTTTATTTATTATGAGTTTGCTTCAAAATTACCCAACATTTAGTTTGGGAATGTTTTTTGTCTCCAAAAATAACCGGAGTTTCATGTTGTTGATGACATAAAACATTATTTAATACAACTAAAGAGTTTCTTAACAGGAAGAGCTAGGATAAGAATAAGAAAGGGACACCCAAAGCCTCTACACTAGGTAGGGTTTTTTTCATGTTTGTGCCAAATATATGTGAGCTTCCCCCACTCCTCTCAAGCCTCAGTTCATTCACGATCCCATAAATAGTTTATTAGATTTTTTTTGGTCCTGTTTACTTTTCTCTCTACTTTTTCTGAAACTGAGGATTTCACCAACTCAAAGGTCTACTAAAAGCCTATTCCCCTTTAGCCATCAGAAAACAGCTACCATCTCGTGGTGAGAGGTGATACTACAGCCCTCTCATTTCTCCCTTGAAAATGCAGCAATGCTGAGGGCAAGTGAGCCCATCTGTAACTACAGAGACCCAACAGGGACATCCAAAGACAACTGCAATGAGGATGATGGTGTAGCTAAGGCGTGAAGGTGTAGTCCTGAGGTTCTTGGGTTTTGTCACAGTTTCTAGTTTGGAGAATATCACACAGCTTTTTGTTTTGCACAGGTGTGTGGTGTTTCTTTTTTTTTGATCTCCCTAGGAAGGTAGGGACTGAGGCACTATGTTTGTGTAGACTGTGGCACAGTCATCTTTTGGGGGAGCAGACAGGGCAGGTATAGGCACAGGTTTGCTCTGGTATCTGTTGCAATGCAAATGAAGAAGTGATCCTGACTACTTTTGGAATCCTGGAATGTTGTCTCACTGATTTAAAAAAGAAGGGGCAAGTATGTTTTAAGGGTTATATGGCCTATAATTGGTTTTCAAAAGGAGTAGTGACTTCTCTGT